CCATTCCGTGGCCACACCGGAAAAGGCGACGGCCCTCACGGCAGCAACGGCGCCTCCCGCAACCACGGAGACGAAGTCCGCAACGGCACCCGGGGATCCGGCGGAGGAGTCCGAAGCGAGCCGCTTTGACCGGCTCGGCGAGGCGCTGGCGGATTTCGAAACCCTTGGCCCGTTCCCGCGCCGCCCGCGCACGCACATTATCGCCAAAGAGGAGTTCGACCGACTTTGATGGATGTCGCTCACCCGCTGCCCACGCGCGTATTGTATCCCTATTCTTTTTTGTTGGTAATTTTTTTTTGGGAACGCGACCGAGCCTTCTGAAGCGACGGCGCGCCTTCCGCCCTTCCCAAGGAGCTTGTGAAAAGAATGATCGCGGGAGAGCTGGCTAACTTAATTAATGTGTGTACATCCTGATAAATGAATGCATTCTTTATGGTACTCTCTACCGTATGAATCTTTTGAGAAGAATGCGACTTTGTAGGGGCAGGGAGCCGATAGAGGCCAGTGTATTTTTTTTTTTACAGACACATCCAGGTAAGTTTAAGGAAATGACTTTGGTTCCCAACACACCCTCCGAGTGGTGTGATATTGGCGCCCGTCTCCGGGACATGGTGTGCCAATGTGGCGAGACCCAGGTGCAGATGACGTTCATTAATGGTAACCAGCTGTCGGATGAGACGTTAACTGTGGCCGCATCATCGGCAGGCTTATGCTTGCTCCATGGACCTATCTCTAAAGCATGGCAGGATTCTACTCTTTATTGGACATATTGCGAATCTCCGGGCGCCTCAGATCCCTAATTTCGAGAAACAAGCGCTCCTGCCCGCTATGGGGGCAGCCCGGGAGTTGGGGCATCAACAAGGGCTCATCACTGCTGAAAGGGAGCGCCTGAATATCGATTACGCGAACGCCGTCGCGGACGTGCAGAATCGAAATGCTCAGCTTAACTCGCGGATTGAGGAGGCGCATCGCAACCTATTGGTAAGGGAATCCACTATCGCCGGGGCCGGCAACCAGGTCCTAGAACTACGACAGCAGTTGGAGAACGCTCACGCCCAATTACGGGAGCGCGAATTCAACTTGGGAGTCCTCAATGCTCAACTCCAGGAACGGGAGGCACGCCTTAACGCACTACAAACCGCGCGGGATGCGGAGACGACTGGGCGGGACGAGGCCTCCGCTACTCGGCAAGTTGCCAACGATGGCTTAACTACAATACCGCATCAAACGGATATCTTGATGGCCGGAGGCGTGCCTAGCAGCGCGGCCCGACACAGTTCGGCGGCTTACAGGCCCCCTCACGGCAATGCTGCGAGACCACATTTCCACCCTTCCACGCCGTTGCCTTCCCGCACTTCTCCCCTGGACGCCCAATTACCCATGGAAGAGGACCGCAGTTTCTGCGCATTCGACGTCACCACGTGACCCACGCGTACATGGAATGAGGGCGCCTCCGGAGTAGTTTTCGACCTCCGGTGCGCATACCAATGCTGGCAACAGGAAAACGAGCAGGTTAAAATTGCCGTTGACAATTTGGTCGAGTGGATCAGCGCGCTGGAAGGCCTGCAGGATCCCACCGATCGAATCATGAATTTGGGGAGGTCCCTACTGAATACATTCCGGATGCAGCTCGCGATTGCATCCGATCCCGGCATCCGGCTTTCCAAACTGCGCGCCCGTCTTTACACCGCTGTTCGCCAGACGGACGCTTATGCGCGGGCGGCCCAGCCTCTCGTCGATCGGCGAGAAACCCAACGCACTGTGCGATGCCAACGTTGTCATACCTATGGACACGAGGCATCTACATGCAATGTTCGCCCGAGATGGAATTACTCACAATACAGGCGCCCTTCAAAAAACGGCCGAGGGGCCGCCGCACGCCGCTCATGAATGCTGGCGACGGCAGCCCCATCCAACCCGCCACCTCCCACCAATCTTCACAGGCAGCGCACCGCACCGCCGATGCTCCACCCGATGTTTCAAATTGCCCGACGCAATCGGCGGGAAGGGCCATGGAGCTTATCCGTAAACGACGCTCGGCTGTAGTACGACGAATCGCCGACGTCTCCGCTTTGGGCCAGTTATATGAGGAGAGCGAACGAGGTGGCTCGAGAGATGTGGGCGCCGTCAACGTGGGAGCAGAGAATGTCTCTAGCTGGGCAATTCACGACTTTTTGCTGCACGCACGAACAGCCGATCAACGCGGAGAGCTGTGCGGCCTTTTTGATGGCAATCGAAGTGGCGCCATCGACCCGACTGCAGCACGCCAGGATGCTGCGGTCCATGTTGCAGATGGAACCCCGCTGACCATGGTGATTCTGGGGTTACAAAAGATTGCGGCGCGATCAGAGACGAAGCAAGCGCGCCCCTTGACAAAGGAAGAGATGAATCAAGTAATCCGCAGCCGGACCGATTGGAAGCAGTGTGTTGTTTTTCGACATGCGTGGATAACGGCGAGTCGTTGGTTTGAGATTGCGGCCTTAACTCCCAACAATTTTAAACTGAAGGCGGACGGGACCGTAATTTTGGATTGGCCCGTGGCGCCGAAGACGGCGAGGGCGGATCCCCGCCGAGCCTCGCGGTTCTTCAGGACACGAGGGCTGGACGCTTTCGACATTATAAAGCTATGCAGGACACTTCAAGAAAACGAAAAGCTCACGAATCTTACGACCGTTCAAATCGAAAGAGCTCTGGCTCCTTGGAATGCCACGGCGCATTCCATAGAAAGGGGAGCGTTGAGACACGCTGCTCCAATCGTGGAGACGTACAATTTTTACCCACACGTGATCTCGCAGTTGGCGAAGCACGTCGACCCGTTCGACCTTCCCCAGAATACTGTTCGATATTTGGGGAGTTACACCACAATGCGGACCCAGGTGTTGTCGCTGTTCGCATTGATGTGAAGGGAGAAACTGCGGAAGGGCAGGAACCCTGGTTGAAAGCAGAGGAGCGTTTTTTCTATGATTTTAATCACAATCATGCTGCTACAATAACGAGACGCGCGACAAGGACGCGTCCGGCCACTCCACAAGATGAACGAGCCATCCCGCTACAGCAAGTCAACGTGCCTGTACTGAATCCGGAGTGGATTAAAAGCCGGTTGAGCCCGGCTACCTTGGAGAGACTCATGCAAGCATGGGGACTCGTCGGGCGGTCCCCTTTCCCTCTGCCCTTCTCCGGTAAAGCGTGCGAAACTCCACGAAGCATTCCAACCGCTGACGCGCGATAGTTACGAAAAGCAGGAATTATCGAGGACGCTTCGTCCACAATAACAGGCGGATGGATAATACCCTTCTCGGTTGTGGAGGAGAGAACCGCCGGTTCACGACGACGATGGATCGCGTGGCCACGCGACAAGAACAGAGACGACCCTTACGAGGCGAATGTTCCTTTTTTACACATTTCCCATTATTTGCTGCCTGTGATGGCGGAGGCCGCTTCCTGCCTGGATTTAAAGGCATCCTTTTTGCAAGTCTCTTTACCGCGGGAGACTCGGCATCTCTTTCGATGCCGCGTGGAGGACGGCACGCTGGTGGAGCCGACACGGCTCCCTATGGGATACAAGGCCGGCCCAGAAATTCTCCAGATTATTATTACTTCGGCGATTGCGGTGGTGACGACGGTGGTTCGCCCCCTCTGGGCTGCACCTCCGTCGGTGCGTGTCGGCGTTTGGATCGATAATATACGCATTGCAGGGTCGAAAAGCGATGCGACATTGTGGGAAGCCAAGTGCTTCGTAATGCGGCCGGCTGTCACGCCACGATGGGGGAGGATCGCGAATCGGGCGCTGCGCAGTACACCTTCCTGGGAGTGCGGTTTGATCACACTCACCGTGCGGTATCCCTGGGTGACAAGTTTGTCTGGTCTGTATGCGCCGTGCCGGCGCCCAATTATTTAACCATCGCGGAAATGGAGGTTACGGTGTCACGTGTTTTCGCACGCGGCTGCCATTCGTACACGCGTTTATGCGACAAATACCTTTTCATAAAGGCGGTGCGACGACGATTATCGGCACTTAACCGGGGATTGTGCAGGAGACATCCCCGGCGAACCTACCGCCATCAGCGGTTGGCTTTGGCGAGAGATTACGACACACCATCGAGAATACAACCGTAAGAGAAACAACAAGCCCACAGAAAAGGCGTCGGCCGCCCTCATCACGGATGCATCGCTCCATGGATGGGGAGCCGTTTTTATTCCATACGCCGGCGACGTTAAAATTGCCGGGGGAAATGGGAGAGGAAGCCTTTTCTTATCATGCAGGCCGAGGCACGCGGTACGCTCTTAGCCTTATCGGCTTTTTCTGCCATCTTGCCATCCACCATGGACATTTTGGTGGACAACACTTCGCCGCAAGGAGCGGCGAATAAAGGCAGCTCAAAATCACACGCCATGACGTGGGGGCTGCAACGGATATGTTTGTTGACTCTCGCGGAATAAAGGCAACTTTTGCCTACGTGCGGTCAGCAGAAAACCCCGCAGACGGCATATCACGCGGTCGCGTTTTATTTCGCCATCCCACCCTAACCCACTTTTGATTCCCACCACGCGGCGGGGTCTTGTGGCTGCAGGACCCCAAAGTCTGCCAGTTCGTAAGTAATAATATTCAAATCCTAACTGAGGACAAAGGACCATGCTAGTGGTCCACAGAATTCTATATATTGAATGGAAAGAAAACATTGAAGCAACTAGCCAGCCCATTCTCCCTAGCTCGCTTGATTTCCATACATTTTTAGGATCCGGCCAGCTGCCCGGAAGATTATTCGGCGCCGTCCCCTCCCCGGAAGAGGGCCGCCAAACGCTCCGAAACACGAGGGCGGCGTGCGTCCGTGCGGCGCCGCACCTCGCCCCCCGGCGTGCGCCAGGTCCCGCCGTGCCGGGAGCGAGCAAGCGTCTCGCGGCGCGCCGCCGTACCACGGCCCGCATAATTTTTTTTTTTCCGCTTTCGTTTTCTCTTTCCTCTAGCGCCCGTTCGCTCCGCCCGCGCTTTTCCGTTTGGCATGGAGGCTCTTCCCGCCTCGTGCCGGAAGATTGTGGCGGTAAGAATTTCTTCAAACTTCAGAAGCGCCGTAGAAATTAGGAATTCCCCACTGCCCTCCGTTTTAAAACCGACCGAAATATTTGTTAAAAACCGGTTCGTCGGAATAAACGCCAGCGATGTTAATTTCACAGCTGGTCGATACAAACCGGACGTGGAACCACCTTTCGAGTGCGGTTTCGAAGCGCTTGGAGAGGTCGTGGCGTCCGGAGAAAAGGTAAAAGGGTTTTTTGTGGGAGACATCGTCGTGACGCAGGCGTTCGGGGCTTTTGCGGAGTATCAGGTTGTTCCTTCAAGACAGGCGAAAAAAGTTCCTTCAAAAAAGAAAGAGTGGCTTCCACTTGATCTTAGCGGTACAACGGCATCGATTTCTTTGGGAGAGGTTGTGAAACCCTTGTCTGGAGAAGTGGCGATTGTAACTGCGGCCAGTGGTGGGACGGGTCAGTTTGCCGTACAACTCCTTAAAAATGTTTACAATTGTCATGTCATTGGTGTGACATCATCCTCTTATAAAGCAAATTTTTTGAAAGGATTGGGCTGTGATCACGTCATTGTTGAAGAGAGAGAAACCATTGATGAGGGAATAAAGCGAATAGCTCCAACCGGGGTAAATTTTGCATATGAATCAGTTGGCGGAGAGACTTTTCAAGTTATCGTTCAAAACATTTCCCTTCGCGGACGTATACTTTCGATTGGGGGTATATCCGGATATAGCGATGGAAGTACCTGGATGAGGCGGTCTTCCATGTATACACCCTTACAAACAGCACTTCTATCTAAAAGTGCGACGTTGCATACCTTCTTCTTACCACATTACAGCAAGTATGCTGCTAGACACTTTGCAACGCTTTGTGATTATTATAAATCCGGAATTATTAAAAGTTGTGTCGACTCTTTTGAATTTAAAGGATTGGAGTCAGTTCCGGATGCAATAGACTATATGTATAGTCGAAAAAATCAGGGAAAAATTGTTGTTGAACTATAAGGTCAATGGTGGAGCGTCAGGAGCATAAAAAAAAAAAAGAAAAAAAAAAAATTGCTTTAGTGGCGATTTTTTTCCTTTTTTTTTTTTTTTTTTTTTGAAAAGCTTATTTTTATTTTATATTATTATTATTATTATTATTATTATTATTATTATTATTATTATTATTATTATTATTATTATTATTATTATTATTATTATTATTATTATTATTATTATTATTATTATTATTATTATTATTATTATTATTATTATTATTATTATTATTATTATTATTCGTAGTTGTTGATAACTTAAAAAATGATTGATTTTTAGCATTTTCAGGCGAACAATTTTATTCTACACGTTTTTTTTTTTTTAACTCTCAGGTTTCCATATATATACTTAATTGTCTTATATTTTTTATTTATTTATTTATTTATTATTATTTCCTTTCTTTCTTTTTTTTTTTTTTCTTTTTTTGTCTCCCAAAGGGAAAAAAGAAAAAAGAATTTTTGCTTACAAAAAGAACGAAATCCAAATGTCATCCTTTGACGACCTCTTAATCCTCGTTTCAAGAAAAGGCACGAAAAGTGTTCAATGGTGCGGTGAGAAAATGGGGGATGCCCAGCTGGAAACCCTCATTGCGGCAATGGAGATTTCGCCCATTCCTATTCAACACATCGATCTTTCCCGGAATGAAATCACTTCAAAAGGGGCCATGTTGCTGGCTCGTTTTCTTCGAATTACGCCCACTGTAGAGGAGGTGGAAATTCGAGAAAATAACATTGACAACGCCGGTGCAGAGGCATTTATACAACTTTACTTTGACGTCCGGTATCCAAAATTATTTGATATGGACGGGAATCCGTGCTCAAAGGCGTATGTACATAATTTGTCACTGTTGGCTCAGGGGAGTTCTTATTCAAATGAAGTTCGAAGAGGTTTACTTACGCGCGAAGCAGATGAACTAAATGTATCTGGGATAGACTACAACAAATTGGACCCTCGTCTGGTGACTTTTTATGTACAGAATGTGGGTGGTTTGGAGAGACTGATTCTTTCTGGGTGTTCACTGGGGGACGCTGGAGCTGGGGTGATTGGGGCATTGATCAGTCAAAGCACTCTGACTCATCTGGATTTGAGCAACAACGGTATATCTGACGTTGGGCTTTCACAGTTTGTTGAATACTCCAATCTTCAGAATCACCCAACAATTTCTTCACTTTCTTTTGCTCAAAATATTCGCATTGGTAATTTTTCGGCACAAAATCTCACGAAAACCCTTTTTGAAAAGAACGGTAAAATTACCTTTTTTGATCTGTCTGAAACATCCGTGACGTCTAGAGTACGATCTATTATTAATCATGAATGTGAACTTAATAAACAGCCACATTCTTTGAAGGAAGCTGTGATTGGAATCCGGACCAATGATCCATCATGCACATCAGTAAACCTTCAGTGGGAAGATGATATGGAAAAGGCAGCATTTTTTATTTCTCCCATATTAAGGGACAATACAAATTTGCTGGAGTTGAATTTGGGCAACTGCGGCTTTGGGGATAAAGGTGTGGAGCTTTTAGCGGAAGCGCTGAGACTCAACAATACCATTCGGGTCATTGCATTTCCAAACAACAATATAACTTCTCGTGGAGCCAAAAAACTTTTTCAGTGTATCATACAGCACGTTTCATTGGAGGAAATCAATTTGGCAGGAAATCGAATCAATGATGAGGCCGCTCTTTCACTGTTAAACACTATTCGGTTGAATGGTAATTTAAAGAACATCAATATTACCAACAATTTTATTGGCATAGACTACATAAATGAAGTGGAAGGTTTGCTTCTTATTAACCAATCACCAAAAATGATTCGGAGACTTGTTGTTGAGATTGAGGCAAATGAGCCCAATTTGGCATCTTTATCATTGTCAGGAGGAACAGGCGAGGAATATTACAATGATGCTTCAGTGAGATTGCTTTGCCAGGCACTGTTATTGAACGCGACTGTAACTTCATTGGATTTGTCCAAGAATATTGTTGGCGATATTGGGGTGGCCTCTATAGCCGAAATGCTTATGACCAACAATGTTATAACCCATTTGAACCTTTCAGATAATTCTATATCCAATCGTGGCCCTCAGCGTCTGTGTGTTGCTCTTCGTACGAATACTTCGCTTCAGGAGTTGGACCTTTCAAACAATGCGATCTATGATGAAGGAGTTGAAGATTTTCCCGAAATGTTAAAGTATAATGATCGTCTCATCCGGATTGTGTTGGATAAAACGGGAGTTTCTAAGGAAATGTACAGCAAGATAATTAAAGCGGCGGATCTCAACAAAGAGCCAAAGAACATTAAGGATCTAGTGTACAGATTACAAAGTGGAGATGATACATTACGTAAGGTGGATCTCAGAAGGGAGAATTGCTCACGCCCACTTGATGATGAATCGATTGGAACACTTTGTGTTCATTTAAAAGGCAAATCATTTGTGGAAGGCTTGCTTCTTCAAGGTAATATGATTGGAACGAAAGGATGCCAAGCTCTTGGTGAGCTTCTTGCAGAAGAAGGTTGCGGTATTCTTTCATTAAATTTATCATCTAATCCTGTGGATGATGAGGGTCTCCAAGAATTATCAAAGAGTTTCTTATCTCCGCACATAAAGTTGGAAACACTTGTTCTTTCTGAAACTGAAGTGACATCAGCTGGCATTAATTCCTTGATTGAATTATTGAAAATCAACACTTCTCTTCAGCAGGTATTTCCTCCAGAAAGAGTTTCAGCAGATGTTTTCTGTGCAATGAATTATGAGCTCATGGTGAACGCTCAACCAAAGTTACTGAAACCTTTGTTGGCAAGGATTGATGCCAACGAGAATATTCCAGAGGTTGTACTTAAAGATTCTCAAGTTCCTTTTACAGATTCTGCTTGTCAACTTCTTTGTGCTTCGTTAGTGAAAAATACTCACATTGTTTCACTTGATTTATCGCATAATCGGTTGACTTGCGAGTGTGTGCCTTTTCTCGTAGAGGCTCTTTCTCGATCTCCAGCAATAAGAAACGTGGATCTTTCATACAACCATATTGGTGTTAAGGGGGGAATGGATCTTATGCTCTTCTTACAAGAGAATGACCATGTCCTTTCTCTTGATCTGAAGGGTAATGAAATATCCTTTGCTACTGCAAATGCAATCACGGAGTTATTGTCTTTAAATGCAGGTTCAATTAAATTGAAAAGGATACTTCTACGACACAGATCAGGCAATTTCTACGATGAAATGATTAATTTGAATGGACAAGATGAAACTTACAAGCTAAACGACAATGACATCCGTCTTTTGTGTGATGTTATGACAGAATCATCAACACTACGTGCCGTTGATCTTGGTTTGAACTCTATAACAGACCTTGGTTGTGAGATGATTGCAGATGTACTTCGACAAAATCAAAAAATTGAGGCTTTATACTTGGACTATAATCCTATCGGGGAAGCTGGTGGTGAGGCTTTATATAATGCCTTAAAAGTAAATCATCAACTTCATACCCTTTTTCTGGAAGGGTCAAATGTGCCTGAGGAGATATGGGAGGAAATATTGGGGCTTCTTCATGTTAATGAAACGCCATTCAAGGAGAAAATCAATATGCGTGCTGTTCGGTTAGACGAGGTTGATGATGATACACAATTTAAAAGCACGGATTATGCAAATGCTCAAGAAGAAAAAGTGGGAAAAGATGCTCTTTATCTGTATGAAGATCCGAGTAAGCTCATTCTTTTGAAATAGTTGATGAACCTAACTTTTTGCTCTCTGTATTTTATTATTATTATTATTTTGTTATGCTATGTACGAATTTTTATACAGATTTCTGGATGTAGAGAGGGAAGATGGGGATTTTTTTTCTGATGTTTATGTTGTTCTTCGTCAATAAGAGCAAAAAATGGAGAATGAAAAGAGAAGAAATAAAGGAATGTATGAAGAAAAAAATGGGATGTAAATGAAGGAAACACCGAGTCGGTGTTTCCTTTTTCCTTTTCTTTCCTTTTTTGTTTTTAATTTTAGAAAAGAACCAGCAATTGGAAAAAAAAAGTTTTCTTAAGTTTTCTTGCCTCCTCTGGCATTTTTGCACTTGACCCAATACCCTTTTTTTTTAAGAGCGAGAGAGAGAGAGAGAGCACGTTGACATATGTATAGTACAGATTATTATTATTATTATTATTATTATTATTATTATTATTATTATTATTATATTTTTATTAACATTATTACTATTGTTGTTATTATTATCATCCTCTTCTATTTGTCTGTATGATTTGAGTAGCAATGTCCTTTAGCCTGCCACAGTCATCTGTCTTGGTGGTTTCAGTGCCCAAAACGGGGATTGTTGTGCCTGAGAAGCAAAAAACACGCAAAGAAGAAGATACTTTTAAACAACAAAAGAAAGAGCTAGAAGACATCATAGAGAGGCAGCAAAGACGTCTCCAGGAGCTGTATTCAAATCTAACAGTAGATGCCGAATGCCATGAGCGTTTATGCCGTGCCCAACTTTTATCCGAAAAGGAAAACCTTGAGACAGCGTTGGCAGGCTTCACTGGGAAGTTAGAAAAACTTTCAGCGCGCCGTCAGGAATTACTTCAAGTAAACGACCATGCATTTCAGTGGGGAGAGATGCGGTCCAAGTGTGTAGAAGCCAGGTCTCGAATCAGTGACCTCAAAGACGAAATTGAGGAGAGTGAAAAACAACTGGAGACTGTCCAAACTCTTGTGAACAATCAACAGGACCGATTGCATACTGTGCGGAGAGAGCTTCGTGATGTACGACAGCAGGTGAAGTGGATGCTGGAATGCCAAGCTGTAGATGAGCAGGCGTTTAATAATCGTATTCGTGAGGAAGAGGAATATCTTCGACAGCTTATGGAGGCGCGTGATGGAATGGAAAAGGAATCTTCAGAGATGACCGAGATGGAGAAACTTGAATTATTGCCATTGCAAGACGAAGTGAATACATTGGAGGCCTACCTAAAAGGAATAAAGGGATACACTCAAACGCTTCAGCTTGAGTGTTACGAGTTTCAAAAAGAGATGGAGAGGGCGAAGATGATTACGATTGAATCATCGGAAAACGAATTGGCCTCTTTGGAGTACCAACGAGCTTTGGAAAAAGTTGACCAACAGATGTTGCATTTCTTGAATGAAAAGATGGAAAAGACACGGCGTCAAGGGGTAGCGCCACTAGTGGTGCATACCAACAAAAAAAAATGGCTTAAAAACTACCGTATCGTATGGGATTGCCTTTCTCAACATTGCAGTGGAATGCGTCAAGAAAAGGAGAAGGACACTGAAAGGATTCTCAGCGAAGTAAAGCAAGGAATCGAAACGGCACGACGAGAGCTCAATGAGGTCACAGGTACCAGTGATGAAGGTAAAAGAGAAAGACAAACGGCATTTTTATTTATTGAACATTTAGTTTCCTTGCTTCACCGTGGGCGAAAAATGGAGTCACAACTTCTGAAACGCATTGACGATTCGGCAGGAAGTATTGGTGAGATGCCTGAGGCATACATTTCCCTTGCAAAAATGAGTGGTTACAATGACTTCGTGGACGATGAGGAAGAAGAAACTGTGATGCCGATGGAGTCAACGGAACAGTTGTTTAAGCCAATTGAAGAGGAAAGTCCTGAGTTGGCCATTGGTGAGATGCGGAGTACTTTCGATTTTTCCCCTGACGATCGGAAGGTGGAAGACATATTTCGAAAAATGGCACACCGCCCTCGAGGACATTTGCAAGAATTTCTTCAACAGAAGTCCCTCTTTATGAGTGAACACGCCGCACAAGCCCATATCCCACTGCGACGCACTTTGACGAGGAGTTCCCCTAGCACTGTGGAAGCATCATTAAGTCTGTTCTTTGAGAAAATGATTGTTGAAAGTATACATTATGCTAAGAGCCATCAACAGAAGATAATGCAGGATACAATGGATCTTCGGCATGGCGTTGTTCAAGCGGATTTACAATATGCAATAGAGGCTAATGATTTGCAGACGAGGGTACATCGAATATTTTCTGAACGTCATAGATCATTTTTGACTTCTTCTCCTGCATCCACTGCACCTCTTAAAGGGACTCATCCCACACGCACTTCTTCGGTCTCCAAAGCGATTCAACGAATCGTTATTGAAGGGGCACACCTGCCACCAGATGTTGTGCGTGCTTCATTGGCGCTTCAGGCAAAATATTTTTTGTCGTGTGCTATACGTGGGTTCACCGCCGTGATGCTGACTCCTGGGAGTGTTATCCCCACCGTGCGGCATCTTTTTCTCACAAGAGACCTTGACAGGCTCTGCGCACGTGACGTAAGCAGTGCGGAGATAGGGAAATTGAAGCAGGTCGATTTTACTGCGAAGCTGAAGGATGTACATGACATACATCTGGTGAAGGATGAAAAGCTCACATCTTCGAAGCTGAAAGCGGAGATATCGTTCACAGTTGTTCTCTCCACTGAGAGCGAGCACAGGGCCAGTTGGGTTATCCAAGCGGACAACCCTGAAAGTAGAACGTTTTGGGCGTACGTCTTTGCGTGGGTGATAAATGAATCGGCCCCCAGCAACGAGGACGCAATTATCGTGCGATTGAAGAGTGCAAACAAAATTTTTGTTTTGGATGCGACAGACGCAACAGCTGATAGCTTTGAGCCAAACAACCGCTGTGGACTGTATGTGCAGGTTGACGAAAAATGATGAAAACAATTTGCTTTGAAATCTCTTGGAATTTTTGTGTCTCTATCGTTTTTTTATTTTTATGAGGGCAGTCACTTTTTATTTTATTTTATTATTTTATGTCTTTTACGCGCACACACACACTCACTTTTTGCGTATGGATGTCTTTGTACTTTTTATTGTTGTTTGTTTTTTGTAGTTTTGGACCTTTTTTATTTTTATTTTCTGGTTTATACGCCAAGGCAACTCAGGGAGGAAGCTTCATTCAACATGTCCAGTCAGAAAGCGCACCAGCCTCTATTCGTTCTCAAGCAGCACAGCAGCGCGGTTATGACATGTGCGATGGATGAGCAGAAGGTGTTTCCACGGCTTTTGTTGAGTGGAGATGGTGACGGCGTCGTAAAGTTGTGGGATCTTGAACTTCGCGCCCCCTTGCTCTCGTTCCATGCGGTCAACAGGGCCTCTTTGGATGCAGAAACCAATAACCAAAACAAGGAGTCGCCCGTTTTTCTTGTTAGTAGTGGTGTAATGAAGGTTGGATTTTTGACCTTTCAAGGACTGGCTGCCACAGCAGGAGAGAAAGGGGAAAATGTCCTTTTCTACACCCAGTGCAGGAATCAACACGTGCACATTTGGCGAGTCGTTTTGGAATGCGATGATGATGATGATTTTGAGGAACTTCAATCAAATAATGCAGGAGGGACTTCTTTGGAGTTATTGCACAAAATCAGTGTCCCACAACACGGTTTTTGTACTGTGCCGTGTGCTGCCATATCGTGTAGTGAACTGCAGTTGGCCATTCCACACGATAACGACGGAATGATCAGCTTGTGGAGCATTGGTTTGGTTGACAAAAGCGGAAAGAATTGGGAAGGGCTGCGCGTTACATGTAAAAAAACTTTTTCTGCGTCGGGACTGGAAACAAAGTGTGGAACTATCATGTGCATCAACTACCGGGATGGAACTCATATTGCTCTGGCCTTTGAGAGTGGTCATTTGACGCTTAATAACTTTTGCGGCGAGCGACTTGCCATCGTTCGTGCCTTTTCGGAAACGGCACTAACATGTGTGTGGTCTGGCAACATGCTACTTGCCTCCTCAGCAGATGGACAACTCCACTGCTACGCCGTTGTAAGCGAAAAGAACGAGGCGCTTGACAATCCCCCCAGCGAAGCAGATGTCACGTTGACGCTTGTCATACAGTGGGAAGCCTCCCTACGCAAGGGTCTAGGTAGCGTGGCACTGCAACGCCATTTGGCTGTGGTGGGGTCATGGGACCACACAATGAGACTCTACGATGAAGGATCGGGCCGTGTCGTATCCATCTTGACGTTTCACAGTGGGCCTGTCAATGATATCGCTCTGGTTCCTGCTTCGTTGGCGCAGTATGCCTCGTTTGGATTTGATGTGCGACGCCCACGTTGGTGCAGTGCCAAAGCCTCCAAAATCAAACAAGAGGAAGATTCTGTGTATCTTTTTGCTTCAGCCAGTGGGGATTTCACAATTGCTGTTTGGCGCCTGGACTTCAAGATGCTGCGTGCGACGGATGTGAGTGCCATCTGATGCAACCGAAGCAAGAAGCGATGCTCTCAATTCAGCTACGTCGGAATTTATCTGGGGTTCCTTTTTAAATCTTCCTTTCTCATCCCTTATTCCCTCACGTCCGTTTTTGTGACGAATTCTTTGAGAGTTGCTGCGCTGGTGCGAGAGCGCGGGCTCTGATTAAATATATCACGAACATGCCGAAAATGCGTCTCTTCATTGAGAACTAGGTGCGGGGCCTGATGCATGAGGTCGGAGATGCGTAGTCGCATTGTTTCTTTAATTGATATATTTTTTCCCTACACACTTCTATTTATTTATTTCTTTGCGGTAGTTCTTTCATTTTTAACAAAAAACAACAACAACCAAAAAAAGAAAAAAAAGGGCGATTGGTCTCATCGTAAATATTGGACGTCTCTTTGCAGAGACCACGAAATTAAAAGGAATAAGAAAGACGCAGAGAAAGAACGAAGAAAAACAAAAACAAAAAACAAAATCGTTTGCTTTAAATATATTTGTATATTTATATTATTCCAGTAATAATAACATTGTTTTCAGTCATGAATGGACGTTACGTGCCGCAGGAGGTGCTTGGCACAGGAACCTATGGACGGGTGTTGCGCTGCAATGATGTACTCACCGGCAGACAGGTCGCCGTGAAGGTTTCTCAGAGAGACGCCGCATACCGTCGTTCTGCGATGAATGAGATACGTGTTCTCCAGCTCCTTTCCCACACTGACAATGCACTGAAAATGTTTGATTTCTTTGAGGACAGTGGTCATCTCTGCATCGCTTCCGAACTGCTTTGCACGGATTTTTATGAGGTGCTTCGCAAAAATGGTTTTCAACCACTTTCATTAGACACCGTGCGTATTGTTGGTGAGCGTGTTCTCCGGGCCCTGGCGGAGCTGCATAAGGCGGGTTACATGCACTGCGACATTAAACCAGCGAATGTCATGCTTCGCTTCAATGAGACGGACCGCAGTAATTTGAGTGACTTTACAAAAACATGTCTTATTGATTTTGGGGCGGCGCGACAGTTTCACGAGAATACCTACTATGATGTTCAGTCGCTTTGGTACCGCGCTCCTGAGGTGATGTTGGGGTTGCCATACACGTCGCATATTGACTCTTGGAGTGTTGGTTGCCTTCTCTTTGAATTATACACGGGGAAACCACTTTTTGCGGGTGAAAATCCGAGAGAACAAATGACTAGCATTATGTGCACCGTTGGAATGCCTCCCATGGAAGCCTTCTCGAGTGGAGCCAATGTGGAAAAGCTACAATTGCCATGTCTTGCAATGGACGTGAACGCAGAGGCTAATCTTCGAAATCTCATTGCAAGCTATCGTTGCAACAACACCGGTTTCAATCACTCTTATCAGTTGGTTGGGGAGGAATCGGCGTTCGTGAACCTACTGTGCGCACTGTTGCAACCGGATGTGAGATGGCGGCTGTCTTGCACGGATGCGCTGCACCACGCCTTCTTCACTTCTCGTTGCCTCTATCATGGCAATATTGTGAGTGCCAACTTCTCGGTTTTCAGCCCGAGTAGTAATGGTTTACAGTCGTCAATTGATTCTAATTTTGGGGCTGTTTTTTCATCTACGGGAAACGATGCACGTGGGTTTGGTGGTTTTGAACATCTCGTGCCTCAGCAGACACAGCCACATCCTAATCCACACCCACAGCCACGGCTAAAATCGGAATCCTCACCTATTTTGCCTGCGAATAGTAACTCTGTTCCTCTCGTGGGTTTGGTCGGCAGTCCGCCAGGTATGGTGTTGCCCGGGACACGGCCACCGGCATCATCCCAGGTAAACATCCCGTCTTCTCGTGTTGTTCTTCAAAATGTGATGTATCCGACCCCGCCCATGAAAATCATACAGCCGGTTCCTTTCAACACACAGCAGTCGCAAAAAGCTCTGCAACAACCTCAGCGCGTAAGTGCGAACATGCTTCCCGTGATGGTCTCCGCCATTGGAAATCCATATTCCTTTCCGCCATGTGTCCGACCTGAGTGTCAGGTCCAGAATTGGGAACCGGTGATTTTTCAACCTCAGCAGCAAATTCCGCCAGAAGTGACGCCCATGTTTCAATGCAAGATACTTCCTGGCGGCTGCCAATACAACTATCAAGGCGGCGCAGACCCATCGTTTTACGGTGCTTCCATAAAGAGTGGTTTACACTCTGCGGTGTACGTTCCGTCATAACAGATGAAACTTTTTTCTTCTTCTTTTGTCAGACCCTTTTTCTTTAAAAAATCTGCAGATCGCCAATTACAAATAAATGACAAGGGAACGAAGGAGATTGAAAAAAAAAAAACTTGCATATTATATATGCTTCTCTTTCTTTCTTTCTTTCTCTCTCTCTCATATATATATATATATATCAACGACAAATAGACAGGAAAGCAACGAAATAAAAAGAATAAAGGGATAAAAAGTGAACGAACGAAGAAAGGCAAAGACGATCGTAGTGAGTTTTTTTTTTTTTTTTTTGCTTTTTGCTTTTTTGTTGTTGACGTTTTTTTGTCCACCATCCAGTAATTTTCGAGAGGAGGCTCCCCTTTCTTTTTATTGAGGAGGGAGGGCACTTTTGTTTCCCGCTTTTTTTTTTCTTTGTGTGCGTGTGCGACGTGTTTTATGTTTTATTTGAGCCTTTTTTTCTCGCCAACCGCCTGACGATTGTTGTCAGATGAGACCTTGCTTTCTCGATGCTCCTCTTTCAATGTTTGCTTGGGTTCTGTGTGTTGGACGGTTTGGACCCGTGGACAATAGTTTCTGGTTTTTTTCTTTTTTTTTTTTTTTCTTTTCTCGGACTGCGTGCGTATATATGTGTACGTCTCTCTGCGTTGCTGTTGCCATGGTGGGAACAGCTTGTGCATGTAGAAACACATCGAAAGGGTCGGGAAACAATGGGAGGGAAACAAACAAACAAAAGGGAAAAAAGAGGTCTAATTGGGGTGTTAACAGTCAATGACGAATATTTTTGGACAGATGTTTTTTTTTTTTTTTTTTCCTTTTCTGTTCCCCTCTCCGGTGGTTTTGTTGTTTGTTTGCTTTTTTTTTTTTTTTTTTTGCTTTTGTTGCTTCATTTGTTTTGCAGTGTATGGAATTTGTTTTTTCTTTTTCCGCGTGTGCGATGTGTTTTTCCTTTGGTCAACGACCCTTTTTTCTTTTTCTTTTCTTTTTTTTTTTGTTTTATTTTCAGTGTTTGCTCTCTTTTCTTTTTTTTTTTTGTTTGATTTTTATGTGCCTTCGCCTTCTTGCGGGAGGGGGATGTCTCCTCCCCGGGGCGGTGGCGGTGGTGTGGGGCTCACGCCTCCTTCTCCCTTTTTTTTTTTGCCTTTATTTTCGCCTTGCCGTAATGAACCGCCCCGTTGTTTCCCCACCCACACAACTCTCGCATTAAAAACGTTTGCGTTCACCAAAGAGCCGCAAAAAGGAAGCAAAAAAAGAGGCTTGAGGTGATTGATGCATGCGTATGTGGACTGTGGCAAAGCCGGGAAGAGGGAGGGGGGAAAAGAAAAAATCGTAACCCAAATAATAATAATAAAAGGAAAAACAAAAAGACGCATTGCTGTGAAAATAAGTGCGCGTCTATGAAAGAAGACAAGCCAACAGCAACAAATCGTTTGTTCATGTGTACAACACTGAGAAGTAGACATGCAGGAGCATGTGGCTGTTGATGTTAGCAAATGCCGCTTTACGCATGATGCTTCCATGCATTTATTTGTGTATCTTTTGCTTACCATGGGCTACCAACCTTTGTTTGTTTGCTTGTTTGTTTTCCATATATATATATATATATATATATAAATATATATATATATATATATTTTCATGTTTGATTTTTTGTGCCTGGGTGTAATTCTTCTTTTTTTTTTTTTGTTTCTTATTGGCATGTGTGTGTGTGTGTGTTTCATTGCCAATTTTTCTCCAACACAAGCTGTGTACATACGTATATACAGATCTATTTATTTATTTTATTTATTTTTTATATACTCCTAAGCATATATATATATATATATCTGTATGGGAAGTTTTTTTTCTTTTTTACTTGCGGTTGGTTGTGCGTGTGTACTGGCGGCATTTTTCCGTACCTGCCAGCATTTTATGTTTCTGTGTTTTTATTCATCATTGTAATTCTTCAAGAGCTCCTTGCAGAATATAACGTAAGGAGAAAATGCATAAACAACCCCCCAAAAATAAAAGAATTTGCCACCAATGGAAGAACGAGAGCAAAGAGAAGGAACATAGAATGATTTAAGGGGAATTGTCGTCATGTGTCGCTATTGTTTGATAATGGCAGCAGTGATGTGGCAAATATATCATTCTGTCAGTACGCGTTGTGACGTTTGATGATAATATTTGTATTGGTGATAGACTTTTTTTAAAAATCCCTCCAACGAGAAGAAAAAAATATATATTAGGGCAGGGTCTGGTAAGCATCTGGACGGGGAGTGGGGGGGGAAGTTATATGTGTCTTCCCCAATGAGTTTGTGAGGTTTTTGATGGTGATTGAGATGCCGAAGGAAAACGGCAACGAATAAATGTCCATTTAAGGAGGGAGGACTTGTGGGAGCGGTATATGTCTTGTTTTTTTTTTTTTTTTTTTTTT